GAATATGACATGTGAAACTGCATCTTCCACTCTCCAGCAGTCTTGCATCCAGAAAAAGGAATCACTTCGCTGTTTTATTGCAATTTTTATGGTATTGCATAAAACATTTTTGGCTACATGATTTACCTGACTTCACTCTTTTATGACCACAGAAATGTGAAATGTACCTAAAATCAGCCACACCCAACAGCTGAACTTAATAGACAAGTAGTACCACAATTAACCTTCTGTGACTACTGTCAAGAATATATATCTCATAAACATCATTATTAGACATTTTCCAACATTTTATTTGTTGGACAAATGAAGTCTCTCTTCAGCCACTCTGGAATGCAATCTCCTTTAAGAGATGTGTACCTGATTGAAGCCTTGGTGAGTAAGGGTCCTTTAAGCTTTTACAACAAATTGAAAGCATCTCCCCACCCCCTTGATGGTACAGAACTCTGCAGTCTTAATCAGGTTTTATACAACCCTTGAGCAGATTCCAACATCATTCTGAAGGACATTTTACCGAGAGAACCGATAGCTAATTTCTATTCAAGAATGAATTAACCTCTGATTTGAATGATAATACAAATCTGGATTCTCAAATTTATATCTAACATTGCTTTCATTTATGAGGAAATAGCTAATGTATATGAGTCAACAAGGTTCATTTTGTTGAATATCAAAAATGATCAGCATGTAATGTCTCATCAGAGAGTTCCTCAACCCTAGCCTAAAACACAGCTTAGAAAGTTGTTTGTTTCTGGGTCTCATTTTTTTTTTTTAATCTAGATGTACCGTGAGTTTTAAAAATCAAACTATCTTTAAATATAATTTATAAACATGTAATACTATTCTGTTCACTATAAAATAAATACAAATATAGAAAATGTTAGATAATGAAAAAATAAATGCAAATGAAAGATCTAATATTTACTTCTTATAACTCCAGGGATTGTCCTGCACACGTTTTGGAGTTCTACATTCCACACTGAAGACTTTTGTTCCCACACACAAGGGAAGTCATTACAAAACCATGCTGTGAAGTTACAGCTTAACCTCAGATGGATGACCCTGTCAACTCCATCCCCATCTGTTCTGCCTTTACCTTTCCAGTTGCCTAGGTTCAGATTCATGGTCCCCTTTTTGTAGTAACAACCCTATGCTTACAACTTTTTAAACTTTGTTTACATGTAAAATAAAATACAAAATAATCATTGGAGATTTGGATGAGGTAGGGAATAAAGAGTTAAAAGATAACTGCACATTTGGGTGTTTGGGAAAAGGGTGCACCTTTAGAAAGAAGGTAGCTCTAAGGAACAGAAGAATGTTTACAAAAAAAGACTACTTAGTTTATCTACAAATTATGGAAGAACAAAAACATTTCTTCTACTCTTTCTGTTTTGAACATTTATGAACATTTTTATGAACATTTTTCCAGGATTGCTGAGATTGAAGTCCTATAAACAGGATGTTCGATCCCAGGGCAATGTCCTTATATTATTAGCAGAGACTACCAAGGGTGAGCATGTTGGCAACATGTAAAGTACATCATTTTTAGAGAAATTTAAAGTAAAGGTAAGAATAAATAAATTCAATACCATTTTTATTATCACCATGCATGGCAATTCTAAATACTATCAAGAGTAAAATATTCCTTTGCCCCAAATGTTGTTAATCTAAATTCTAAATAATTGTGGTGATTACTGTTGAGTTTTAGTCATATGTATTTAAAGCTTCTGATTAGCACATTTTATTATTCGTCCTTTGATAAACATTGTATTCTACATGGAAGTTAATTCAGAGAAATTTCAGTTAGCTAGGTGCCCCTGTATACTTACTCAGTTACCCACTTTCATTTCAAAAGTTAGTAACGACTCAAAATATTTCTCATATCCTGTGTTTCCAATCTCTATACTACAATATATTCCTGTATTTAAACAGCAGATTCTAAATAAATGTAGTCCAGTGACTGCAAAGACAAATTAACAGAAATTGAATCGCATTCATGTGACCATTATATATGATTACATGAATTTAATGTGTTAAAAATTAAAATTGAAACAGTGAGAACCAGGAGGTATGATGTTTTTCTTTGATAAGTACAAACTTCAGTTCACATGTAAAATATCATAATGAATTCCATTAATATTTTTAAGATTATTTTTTTCTCTGACAGTGTTTTTGTCTTAAAATCATAGGTGATTCTGAATCAAGAATAGTGATCTTAACTAATCATTATGTAATCACTACTGAAAATAATTTTGTTACATATAGGACGGGGGTGTTAAAAAGTGACCCCTTATGTGCCAAATATGCTGGACATGCCATTGACTAAAAATGTTCCCCAAAGGTGATGGTCCCATCCCTGTGGTCCAGGCTCATTATCACCTATTTGACTCTCCTACAGTCCTGTTCTCTTTCCTTGCCATTCCCAACACACTGTCTGGTCAATGTAATTCAATTCATGTACCTAAACCTATATTCTTGTAGTCATCCACTTTCAGACTATCACTTTCTTTACCTGATTCATAAATAATAAATAGAGGTTTCTTTTTTCCTGTTAGAGTATATTTTAGTAGGTCCAGTTGTGTACTGATGCCTCTTAAATTTATATCACTGACCCTTACCTATTCCGTGAACAGAAGATTTGTGTACCCAGTTCTTTATGCTACAACTGTATCTGGATGCCGAAGAGAAGAGGCAGATTAAATTGACATGATCAAATATGATTTAAGTTTCCCACCGTATCTACTCTCCCCCCAGAGAACTTCATTTCAGTGAATTCCATTATTTTTCAATGTGTTGCTCAAACACAAACACCTGGATATCTCATTTCTCTCTTTCTCCTACATTCACATCCAGTAAACCCTATAGAGGCTCAACCTTCTACACATAATCCAGTCTTCACTCCTTCCCCAACTCCTGCCTGAGACCTAGAAATCTGTAAAATCCTGCTACCGTCTGGTTTCCGGGCTTATCTGTTTACCATCCATAAACTCTTCCACCGTGGCCATTGTAAGCTTTTAAAATGATCGCCTGAACAAAATACTTCAATAATTTTGTGCCAAATTCACAAAACTCAAAGCCATGACACCAGTGCACAAGCTCTCTATAACCAAGTACAGGTGGTACCTCTGGCCTCTCCTGGCTCATCTGTCCCTTACCTAGGCTCCTCACACTTGATTTCTCCTCAGCCTTGGACACTTGTCCAGATTTCCCCAAGGCTTTCCCCTTCACTTCTTCAGGTCATGGATACCTCTTATGAGACGTCTTCCCTGAACACTCTACGCTACGTGGGAACACCACACCAACACACCCTACTGCCTTGCTTTGGTTGGTTTTCTCTCAGGGCATTTTTCAGTATCTGACATATTATACATCTACTTTGTTGTGTATTTTTAACCTCCCAAGTTAGAATGTAGTCTCAAGAGGGCAAGGATCTTGTCTGCATTGCCCACGGCTAGGTCAACCAAAGCTAGAATTGGTACAGAGAGGCTCTACAAATATTCACCCCATTAACCAATGAATTGTTTTACCCTACTTTTACACCAAAGTCCAGTCTCTGCTCTTTCTTGTTCACTCTCCCTCCTTCCCTTCCTCAACTCCTACTTGGTTGTTGAGAATGCCTGGCATCTCTGGGCCTCACTCTCATGTTTGCTTGACAGAACTTTGTAGAAAAAATTGCAGTTCATTAGCAGGCATCTCTAGGGCAGGAGGCAGAAAGCCTGGCCACATGAATAGAGTGGGCTTTTCCAGCTCTGATTGCCTCTAGTAATAGTCACCCCCAGCAGCTATTCTCTGCCTCTTCATTTTGTTTTTCTTTAAACCTCATTTATTCGCAGTGGCCACCTGCCCCAACCTGGATGATGAATTGGAGAACTTTTGCTTTTTGTGGTCACATATGACTCCTCATTCTCTCATTCACAATTCTAAAATGTAAAAAATTTCTGAAAGCCAAGAATGTTTTATCTAAACTTGATGCTAACTCATTTGTCAGGAAAACTTATGTGGCTCTTTATGACCATTATTTATTCCATGTTAATATTCACACATTTTATAAACAGATATATTAATGTGTTTGATTAACAGAGTGCTGCTATAGACTTTTCTTGCTGGTATAACATAAAATACAGAATTTGCTCTGTCTAGCTTTCCAAAATCAGAACTCAATTTTGAGTTGTGAAACATGTCTGGGCTCAGAGGTCCTAGACGATGGAGGTGGCTGAGTCTGACTCACTTTCCTAGCCACATGTGGTAGAAAGGGATATCCATATGACCCAGAACTAAAGACTAAAATGTAAGAGGGAATCTTTTGATCTAGAAAAAAGAATCCTGCTTCCAAAATGAAAAAGCCAAGCCTCAAATAGAATGGTTTTGCCTCAATTCTTGCTTCGTGCTCAGGGTCTGGACTGAGGATGTGGTACTTGCCACCTGTGTCTGTGAGGAGCCAAGATGAAAAGGTGAGTTGAATTTTGTTGGGGGGGGGGAAGGGGGAGAGAAAAAAATCAAACTAATAATAACAACCCTATCCCCAAAGGAGCCTGGAATCATGCCTCATGTTCTTCTTAAGTAAATAGAAAACTCCCTTATTTTTCAGCCAAGGTTACTCAGTCTCTCTGTTAATGGCCAGATGGGATATGACAGGTACAATATAACAATGTGTCTGAACAGGTGTCAAATAGGATCCTCACTCAGCAGACCACAAAGTAACCACTTCCTGATGAAGGATCAAACAAGAGGTTCTAATATGGGACAGGCAACAGAAGACCCAGGTGCTAGCCTTATCAGTTTGCCAGTAAGTGAGGAGAGAGGAGAACAATAAGGCAGGAGCACACCCACTGGCAAAGAACCAGCACTTCGGCAGCAGTTGCTTATCTTGAACACACTCAAGTTTATCACAATCCTGTGTCATGCTTATGTGGTAATGGTGCCAAAGTCAATACCACTGGGTATTAAAGCCTTGTTGCTTGCCTAGAGTCCTTGCAAACCTTTTCTGAACTTTTTGGTGAGTGAGTCTGCACTGCCAAAATCCTCTCTGCTTCTCCAAAGAGCTTAAAGAGATCCAGGACTGGTAATGCTCTTCTTGGATCCTTGCTCCCTTGAGACTGTCCCTCAGCGATCTCAGCTTCTTTCCATTTTCCCTCGAAGCTCCAGGACACTGACTTCCTACAAGATGAAGCATACTTCTTGCCTCCTCATCTTCATCTCCCTTCTTCAGCTGATGACTCCGGGGAGTTCTCAGTGTTCCTTAGACTCTGTAGTGAATAAAAGAATTCAGGAAGCTCTCAAAGGTACAGGGAACTGCCAGGAATTGGGAGAAATGGGAAGTTCACCCTTACTCATGCCTCCTGTTTTAAACTCTAATTTCACCCCTAGCGCATCCTAAGTCAGTCCTGGTCAGCCCACCAGAGCCCAATCTTTCTGCCCAGGGCTTCCTTAACTCTTCTACCCACTTTGGGCTCTTGACTCAAGTTTTCCTGATGATGATGAGGAGGAGGAGAAGAGGGATGGTTATAAAACGTTCAAATGTCATACATAGATTTATGTTGATTAGTTTAATTTCCACAGCCACTTTATGAGGTAAGTACAGCTATAACTTCCACTTTACAAATGAGGAAGCTAAACCTTAAAAGTTATGATTGTGGACACAGTGATACCTCCAAGGTAGAAGAAGATCTGGAAGGGGATTATGACAAAGCATCATGATGGGCAATATGTCTCTCTCCTACTCAGAGTATAAACCCTCCATCCCAACCAAGACATTCTCGTGTGTCAGCATCACAAGCTCAGGAAGACTGTCCTCCTGCCCCGCTGGTGAGTAACACCATGTGGAAGACTTGAGGGTAACATGCCCCTGTTTTCCCTGCCCATCCCCTAATACATATACGTTCCCCAAGTTCAGGTTTGTGTTACCTTGAAGCCAAGCCATAATTTCTACTTCTCAGAGATAACTTCCCATCCCGTTTTCCTTAGGATGCTATTGAGAGATCTTGAGTTTCTATTACTCCCCACTGTTCTGCCCTCACACACCAGCCCATTCACGTCAACTGCCTTGTCATAGTGATAGGATTAGTTTCCCTCTAGTTCTATGTCTCTGTGTTGGTGGTGGTGATGGGGCATTCACAGAGGCAAATTTATCATCAGTTTAAAGAAACTGAGCTGGACGTGGTGGCACACGCCTGCAATCCCAGCAGCTTGGGAGGCTGAAGCAGGAGGATCACAATCACAAGGTCAAAGCCAGCCTCACCAAAAGCAAGGCACTAAGCAACTCAGTGAGACCCTGTCTCTAAATAAAACATAAAACAGAGCTGGGGATGAGGCTCAGTGGTTGAGTACCCCTGAGTTCAATCCCTGGTAACCTCAAGAAAAAAAAGAAAGAAACTGTTGTTGCTTCTGTAATTTAGGGATTTTTTTTTTAATTCTTAAAACAGACTGTCAACATTGACTGTAATTTAGCCCCCACAAAACCTCGATTTATCCCTGGGCTTCGCGGGGATAAAAGATGTTTACAAATGTGCCTTCCAGTTCTCAAGATCCCAGGGCTCTGATGTCGGTGTCTCCCATGTCCATGCAGGTATGGTCGTCACTGGTTGTGCTTGTGGTAATGCCTGTGGTTCCTGGGATGTACGGGGAACAACCACATGTCACTGCCAGTGTTCTAAGATAGGCTGGACCACTGCCCGTTGCTGCCATCTGGCCTGAGAAGAAGGAGGCCGAGAACCCAATTTTGTGATGATGTCTATAATGAAACTATGATTCCAACCAGGAAACATCATTCATTACAATACTGTTTCTTGAGCAGTAAGACCAACTTAAAAAAAAAAAGAAAGAAAGAAAGAAAATAAAGACCAACGTGGTACTTCCCTGCATTTATGTCTTTGATGTTATTGACCTTAGCTTGGGATTCTTCTAGCCGGAAAATATTTTCAGTATCTCAGGAATTACATCTTAGTATGGCATGTAGGATCGGTGGTTAGGAAAGCTAAGGGAAGAACGGGGGAAATTAGACTGACATGCCTTCCCCTCCCTCATCATTTAATAAAAAATGTCAAGCATATTGCTTGGCATGAGGCACAGAGAAGTGAAATAACATGCTCTTATGGAAAAATAGTGGGCTATAAGCTGAGGGCATAAAGAATTTCCAAAGTATAGGCAGGTAAGGGTAGCTTTAAAGAAATAGTTTCTAGATTTTCAGCATGAATTTGTACTCTTTCTTAAACTCAAGTACCCGAGATGTGCTTTGATCAAGGTGACTTCTTTCACCACTGCCTTTCTCCCAGGCCACAATAGAAGACTACAGCCCTCACTGAATCTTGCAGGAAGTAGAATTGCTTGCGGTGGCAGGCCACCAAAATCAGGCCATAGAAAATTTGTCTTGGGCTTTCTGAAAAAGAGTTTAGTACCTAAATAAAAACAGAGACTCAAAATTGCCCATGATTCTTGTTTCTTGGGTTATTTGTGTGAGGACATGATGTCTAGAGCTTTGTCAGCCATCTTGTGTCTGTGAAGTTAGTTCAACCATCTTATGACCTTTTAGAGAGAACTATTAGAATGGTAAAACAGAAAAGAAGAAAGGAACCCAGGGCTGCAATTATATAATAACACCTCTGAACAATCTCTGGAATCATTTAAACATGTTTCTTAATAATGAATTTATAAACATCCTTATTTATTCATTTAACAAATATTTATTAAATTCTATCTATATCAGGCATTGGGATTCAGCAGGGGCCAAAATAGGTAATGATTACTACCTTTATAAAGTCTGCATTCTATTTCTAAGCCTTCTGGCTAGGAATTTTGTTGCTTTCCTCTGGATAGGATTAATCTAGGGCCATGTCATGTTATCTAAGCAGAGGACTACCAGGGCATACATTTTATACTTCGATTTTCCTGTTGAAGCAATAAATGAAAAGCCTATATTGAGAGATGTCATCAAACTTGATGATTCCTGGCAGGGTAGCTGCCAGGTTTGTGGGACTGTTGGGGAGAAAGAAAAAGTCAGGAACACTTCCCTAAGTAGAGTAGCAGAGCAAAGGCAACTAGAACTTCTTAAAGGATGCACTTGAGATTGTCCAAGCCTCCTCCTGAAGGCCTGAAGTCCTTCCCTCCTCCTTAGATCCCAAGTACTGCCAGAGTGTTTATGGAAGTTAACCATTACCAGCATCAGACACTGAACATGTAATGAACACTTAGCTCCCAACCTTTGCAGTCTACAATCATTTGTTTCAGGCTGACTGGTTCTAAAGGAAAAACATAAATCATCACTGATATACAACCTGATACCTTATCATCTATGATTTGTAGACAAGTTGACTTCAATTCTAGAATATTAAATTAACAATAAAAGATAATATTCCTAGTTACTGAATTTGTGGGGGCAAAAAAAGAAAGAAGGCAAAAAAATGGGACCACTTTCTAGTGCTCTTTCTCCTTCCCATAAGTCTAGTATAAATATTCATGATACTAGGCATACCTTCCCTATAGATGGAAACATAGTGGTTCAGAATACGGTTCCATGATAAGGCTCCCACCATAGAGATATGATTGGAAGAACTAGAAAAATATGATTGCCTTTTAGATTCTTATGGGAGGGTGGTATTGTGGTTTGGAAATGAGATGTCCCCCCAAAGCTCCAATGTTCATGCAGGAATATTCAGAGGTAAAATATTTAGATTATGAGAGCTGTAACCTAATCAGTCTAATCTAGATTGAATGGAGTAATAAGTATTGTAGGCAGGTGGGGCAAGGAGGGAGGAGGTAGGTCACTGGGGGCATGTTCTGGAAGGGTTCATCTTCCCTGCAACTCCTTCTCCTTACTATCTCTGCTTCCTATCCACCATGAACAGAATAGTTTTACTCTTATCATGCCCTTCAACCACGATATTTTTGTTCATCTTGGGCCCAGAGCAATGAAGTTGACTGACCATGGACTGGAACCATAGGCCCCCCGCCCCAAACTTTTCCCCCTTTAACTTATTTTTGGCAAGTATTTTGGTTACTACAATGAAAATCTGACTAACACCAATGCAAGATCCCTGGTGGTATCGCAAGTCAGATGTTATAGTGTTGTTCTCTCATCTCCTTCCTCTATTCCTTTCCACCTCCCTTTTGCCATGCTATGATTATTACAGCAAAGTTCTTGCTCCTCACAACTCTTTAGGTTAAATTACTTATTTTGAAGGCTCAAGTGAAAAACAGATATGACAAATATCTATTTATTACTGTTCTTCTCATGTAGGCCAATAATCCATAAGGAAAAAAGGAATCACCCAAACACAGGCCAACAACTACTAATCTTTACAACCCACAACCTAAAAATACCATGACAATAGGACAACGGAGGAAAAATTTCAGAAACCTATACATTATTCAGTGATTTTTGCTAATTTAGGATTTTCACAATGAGGTTGGAGAGGTGGAACATTCAGAAAGGAAAGAGGAAGAAAAGCAAAGAAAAAAATTGTTTATGTGCATTTACTCATTCTTTACTCAAATGCTTAATACACTCTAAGTAAGCTTCACATGTTGCCCTTTGGATATCTAGAATAGCAGGCCTATCCTCCTTTTACACTGCAAAAGTGATTTTCAACCAGAGAAATTACAAATATCCAGATATTTTATGGTTGTCATGCAAGACAGGGAAAATATATTGCCATCTAGTGAGTTTCAGCCACAAATGCTGAGAAATATCCTGCAATGCACAGGAGAGGCCATATGAGGAATCATCTTATATAAAATGTTGGTAGCCTAATACATTTACATTAAGAAACTCAGTGCTAGAGTATATGCTTCTATCAGGGGAGAGATGACCCTATTTCTCACTTAGAACACTTAGAACAAGTATTAACAAAGTGAAAAGTACTATCTTTCTAAAGACTTCTATTGATAGCTAATAATACCTATGTATCTCTGTTCCCTAATTCTTATAAGGGCTGCTTATAACCTGAACCCCAAACTTTACAAATAAATGATTTTAACACTTCTTCATCACATGCTAGCAATTAGAAGTACATTTCTTCCACAGGCTTAAACTGACCAATGCATAAGTACCTGGAAATATTTTGAGTGGCAGATTTACAGTTCTACAGAAGTCAAAAAACTATAAGAAAGAAAGGGATTTATGCTAGCAGCGCCCCATGTTTTATTTGTCTACATGACAATTATATTTACTTCCTTGTGTGCTCTCTGGGTGTCAGAAGGCAGAGCTTCTGTATATTTGTGCAGTAAAACATAATGGGACTATAATGGGAAACGTTGATAATCTAATAAACCATCATCAGACTCTTATTTTTAGTTGTCGTATACCCTATTTCTGAGATATTGTGCTATTTTAGCTAAATAAATCTCCTTTTATTTAGGTGCAAGGAATTATTGTTTTTTCTTCTGGAAAACCCATAGAGAGGAAATGTCAAACACATAATGTATAAGATAAGGAAATGTTAGTACTAAGACTTGGACATAATCTCTTAGAATACGGACTGGAGGTAGAAGAGAAGATCCTGGATGACGAACAGAAACTCCTGCATGGCTCTAAATAATCTGAAAAGACAACAGAAGGACTTCTACAACTCCACAGAAGCATTACTTACCTAAGCAATGAAGATCATTTGCATGAGCAGTGGTATAATGTGAGGGAATCTAAGAACACTCCCCTTTTTTTAAATGCCCTTGTCTTTTTTACCTCAAATAGTAACACTACATTAATTTGGAAAGCAAAAGGGACTAGAAATTTCTGAGCCTTCTAATTAAATACATATATTAAATATATTTAATAGGAAGGATCCCTCTCTGAGCTTTTCTGGACAGTGTGGTTTGTATAATGGGAGGAATCATAGAAGCTAAATTTTAAAAATTATCAAGGCAAAGTTTACAGTATTCACCATGTATATATTCAAAGCTGTGCCTCAGAGAGAAATAAGAGGGAAGTGGATCGCCTTCCATTTCCATGCGATTTCCCTTCTCACTCCCTTTCCCTCCCACCTCTCATCCCTGTTTAATGTAAATCTTCTTCTCAAGCTCTTCGTCCCTACCCTGTCCTTGTTTACTCCCCTTATATCAAAGGGGTCATTTG